CTTTTCCAATCATTTTTTTCACTTTTTTTTATCCCATTTTCTCCCTTTTCCCACCCATTTTTCAATCATTTTTTCCACCCTTTTCCCATAATTATTTCCCTTTTCCCACCCATTTTCCAATCATTTTTTCCCTTTTTTCCCATTCCTTTTTTCCATCCCTTTTTTTTCCCTTTTCCAATAATTTTTTTCACTTTTTTTATCCCATTTTCTCCCTTTTCCCACCATTTTCCAATCATTTTTTCCCCTTTTCCCACCCTTTTCCAATCATTTTTTCCTTTTTTTCCCATCCCTTTTTTCCATCACTTTTTCCCCTTTTCCCCCACCTTTTCCAATCATTTTTTTCACTTTTTTTATCCCATTTTCTCCCTTTTCCCACCATTTTCCAATCATTTTTTCCCCTTTTCCCCACTCTTTTCCCCCCCATTTTTCCCTCCCTCTCCCACCCCTTTTTCCTGCCTGATCCTGGAATTTTTTCCCGATTTTCCAGCCCAGAATGTGACAGTGGAGGAGGTGGTGGCCGCTTACCGCCAGGCCTGCCAGAAGCTCAACTGCCGCCAGATCCCCAAACTCCTGAAGCAGATCCAGGTAATTCCCAGAGTTCCCAAAACCCCACCATCCCCCCCAAAAAAATCCCTTTTTTCTGTGCTTCCAGCCAAAAAAAATCCTGTTTTTTCTGCTCTTCCAGTCAAAAAAAAAATCCCTTTTTTTCTGTGCTTCTGGCCCAAAAAAATCCCGTTTTTTCTGCATTTCCAGCCCCCAAAAAACCCCATTTTTCTGCATTTCCAAACCAAAAAAACCTCACTTTTTCGGCATTTCCAGCCCAAAAAAATCCCATTTTTTTGTGCTTCCAACCCAAAAAAATCCCATTTTTTCTGCATTTCCAGCCCAAAAAAATCCCATTTTTCTGCATTTCCAAGCAAAAAAAACCCATTTTTCTGTGCTTTCAGCCCCCAAAAAATCCCAGATTTTCTGCATTTCCAACCCCAAAAAATCCCATTTTTTCTGCATTTCCAGCCCAAAAAAAATCCCTTTTTTTTTCTGCATTTCCAGCCCAAAAAATTCCATTTTTCTGCATTTCCAACCCAAAAAAATCCCCATTTTTCTGTGCTTTCAGCCCCAAAAAACCCCATTTATTCTGCACTTCCAACCCAAAAAAATCTCATTTTTCTGCCTTTCAACCCAAAAAAATCCCATTTTTTCTGTGCTTCCAGCCCCAAAAAATCCCATTTTTTCTGCATTTCCAACCCAGAAAAATCCCGTTTTTTCTGCATTTCCAGCCCCCAAAAAATCCCTTTTTTATGTGCTTCCAGCCCAAAAAAATCCCTTTTTTTTTTCCTGCCTTTCCTGGCAAAACAGAATTTGGGATCAATCCCAGTCCAGGGTTGTGTTTTCCATGGAAAAATTCCCAATTTTTCCCCTCAGAAAGTCTTTTTATGGGATTTCTTCCCCCCAAAAAAATTCCCATTTTTCTGAAAGCAAGGAGCAGAATTTGGGATCAATCCTGGTTTTATCCCATCCAGGGTTGGCTTTTCCATGGGATTTTTCCCCTGGACTAATTCCCAGTTTTCCCTTTCCAAATCTTTTCCCAAATTTTGGCAATTCTGGGATTTTCCCCTCCCCAAAAATCCCAAATTTTCTCATCCCCTTTTTCCCTCTTTTTCCCTTTTTACTCCAAGAATTCCAGGA